GAGACATACACAGAGACACATAGATACACAGACATACACAGACACATACGCATGCACACACACACATAGACACACAAACTCACAGTGGATTTCTCTGGTATAGAAAAGGCCCATAGGGCAGGACAGTAAACGGACAAGACCCTGGAAGGGGTTGGGTTGGTCCAGGGCAGAGATGGCTCCAGCTGTGACAAAGCAGAAGCCTCAGTGAGATTTAAAGGACAATTATTTTGTATAGTACCTGGTGCTCATTTGCAATGTGGCAGTGGCTGGAGAAGGGAGAGTCTGAGGTAGGAATCTGTGGGGAATCATTTTGGTCCTAGGGGTGGGGCGTGTCCACTTCCCCAGGCCCCTCCTGCCCCTGTTGATTCAGCGTTTCCTCCACAGTCCCAGACCAAGGACAGTACACTCTCAGCGTCCCTATTCTGCCTCTTCACAGCCTACCCGTGGTCCGCTGGGGCAGATCCCAAGAATCCAGGCAGATTTACTCACATCTGATCTTGGTGTCGGCTGGAGCAGCCCAAAGGTGCTCCCCCTAGTGAGAGAGAAGCCATCCTGTCCTGGTGATGTGCCTGGTGCACAAGCCTCACCCTGTGAGTGTTTGTCATTCCAGTACAAACTGAGTGGTGTCCCGATAGGTTGGGTGGGCCGAGGCTCCTGGATGCTGACAGTGTTATTGTCCTGTTGGGGCAGTGCAGCTTAGCTAGGCAGTGATGATGGAAGGCCTCGGTCCCTGACACACAGTCCAAGAGCTGCTGACCCCTCAGCTCCTGAGTTTGGGGTTGTTTCACAGGCCACCTGCATCTGCCTGCCTGCTTTTGTGGATTAGGTAGTTGGTTTGTGTTTTGTTGTTGTTGTTGTTGTATTGTTTTGTTTTGGGCCATCTTAGGAATCTCAAGCTGGTCACAAACTTTAGGGGAGAGTGACCTTGAACTCGGATCCTCCTGTCTTAACCTCCTAAGTACTGGGATTACATGTGTAAGCTGCCATGCCCAGGTTTGATTTATAGATATGTGTGGTGCTGGGAATTGAACCTGGGTCTCTGAACACGCTAGGCAAACACTCTGTCAGCTGAGCCACATCCTCAGCCCTGCCTGTGGCGATTGCTGCCTACCTGTGAAGACACTGATACCCCCAGTTGCACGCTCAGGTGGGTCAGCCTCTTCTCCCGAGTGGCGTTGAATCTCCTCTCTGCTCCAGCATTGGTGGGCAGTTGTTTCAGAGCCTCCTCCAGAGGCCCTTTGTGGGGGTACTGGCTGCCTCTGCAGGTGCTCCCACAGAGGGTGGAGCACAGGCTCTCCAGGTGCCTCCAGGGGATCTGTCCTCTGCGTGGAGACATTTGCCCTGTGAGCAAGGCAGTGCTGGGTTTGCATTCGTGAGCAACGGTTAGTTCCAAGTCACAGTTCATTTCTGGGATAAAAGAAAACACGCATGCGCCCAAATCGAAGTAGAGCTCAGCACTGACTTGATATTTTATTTTACATAGTCTCTGCCAGTTGTTCCCGAGTCCCGAGGCCTCGCTGTACACATCTGCCTCCACTGTCCCTTCTAGCTGTGTGTAGTCTGTAGCTGTAGGGTGGTGACATGCTGCCTCTGCGGTACCACTGTCACCTCCCTCTGCAGAGCCCCTTGGTGCTCTGGATGAGCAGCTGCTGTCCATGACTGATGCATTGCCTGCCTGCGAAGACTTTGTACACGTTGGGACATGGTTTTCTCCTTAGGCTGGGCCCGTGGAGGATCTTATATAGCAGAGAGACATGGTTAGGTGGAACTTCCCAAGGATGCCCACACCTGCAGCAGAGTGACCAGTGCATCCCTCTGGGGCCCTACCGCCAGGGCCCACATCCTGGCTCAGCCTCTCCCAGAGACACATTTGTAACAGGACGCACCCTATAGGGCTCTTCTGTCAGTGTGTGGCACGTCACACTAGAGCTCGAAGTGATGCTGTGTCCTTCCATCCCTGTTTTGTTCCATTGGCACTGTCCCTCCTGTCAGGAGTTTCCTGCCTGTGTACTGTGCACACCAGCACGGTCACACACACACATGTGCACATGAGACTTGCTTCAGAGCTGTGACCAGCAGAGGAACAAGGAGTCTGGATTGGACAGGAAGAAATGAATCAGACAGTCTGTTTTTCCACGACCACACCTTACAAGGCTGTTGGGAAGCTGTGGGGGCGCCGAGGATGTGGCCCCAAGGTGGAGCACTTGCCTGGTGTGCTGGGGTCCCTGAGTTCCGTCCCCATCGTGGGACTAGGGTGTGACGTGGTGGGATGTCGGGAGGTGTTAGATGTGAGCGATGGAACTCAGCATTGGGGATCTGCCGGTTTGAAGCTCTGAGCCTAAAATGCAGCCCTGGCACACGCCTACTGGTTGGTGAGGGTCCACAAACATGGAAGGCTCCGGCAGCCATGGGAATGGAGAGAGGTATGATTGGGTGAATTTGTTTGGTGAGTTCTTTTCGAGGCAGGGTCTATGTAGCCCACGCTTGCCGTGATCCTCCTGTCCCAGTCCCCAGTGCTGGGATTGCATCTGGCTACTGCGCCCAGCCTAGTCTGTACTCCTGAGAAGTTGAACCTGTGACCTGTCACCTGAGCTCTAGGTATTTATTTACTCCCCACAGCAAGCCCGGTCTGCCCGTGGATGTCAGGAGGGACACCGCGGGCACTTGGGCACAGTTGAGGATGGAATGCGCTCAGTAGCGCAGCGCTAACTGACACATGACACAAGGCAGATTCATTCAGGATAACTACGGTGAGAGGAGGCAGACGCCTGTGTAGACTGGACGATGTCTTCAGATTCTAAGACGCAGAGTGATCAGGCGCAGCAGCTGAGTGGTCATGTGGGAAGGACAGGAGGCAGAGGAAGTGATGGCTCTGTGTCCTTTTTATGGATTTCTTATTGTGTATTGCTGATTTTTCAAGTCAGTGTTTCTCTGTGTAGCCCTTTCTGTCCTGGAACTTGCTCTGTAGACCAGGGTGGTCCCGAACTCACAGAGCTCCACCTGCCTCTGTGTCCTAAGTACTGGAATTAAAGATGCATGCCACCACTTCGGGCTTCATTTATTTATCTTTTTAGTTCAGTTTTTACGTGCCAGGGGTTGACCCCAGGGCCTCGCGCACACTATGCTCTGTTTTCTGGATGTGTCGTGTCTCTGCCCCACTTTCACGTTTGAGTCATTCATTCATTCATTCATTCATTATTTTTTTAACTAATGAATGTGTTGGGTTTTTTGTTTGTCTGATTTTTTTGTTTGTTTGTTTGTGGGGAGACAAGGTCTTGCTTTGTAATGCTGGCTGACCTAGAAGTTGATATATAGACCAGGCTGGCCTTGACCTTAAAGAGATCCATCTGCCTCCAGACCTCTCCAGTATACCATCATACTTGGCCTATTTTTAATATTTAATTGTTTACTGTGTCTGTCTGTGCACGTGGGGAAGTCAGAGGACAACCATGGGAGTCAGTTCTCTACTTGATTCACGTGGATCCTGGGGTCAAGCTGAGGTCATCAGACCTGACAAGACCCTTAACCCTCTGAACCATCTCACCAGTCTGGGTGGACTTGAACTCACTCTATAATCCAGGCAGGCTTTGAATTCAAAATCGTCCTGCCTTCATGTCTCAGATAGCTGGGACTCCAGGCCTGTGTTGCCAGGCCCAGCTGGCTTTACTCCTTGACTTAGCTGCTGCTTTCACACTTGTGCAGACACAACACCTGGTTGGGCTGAGGGTGTAGCTCAGCGATAGAGCACCCACAGGGTCCTGGGTTCCATCCTCAGCACTACCAAAAATCATAGTTGTCAAGCCATACGCTTTAAAACATGCACATTTTAGTGAGTGTCAACAGTCCCCTCTGTGTTTTTATAAATTCGTGGGGACAGCCTTGTGGATGGCCATACCCAGTGGCCCTGCAGACCTGGCCCCTCTGTCCTAGCCCGTGTGGCCACCTCTACCACACATCTGCTTTGTTTCCATCACTTGTGCAAACGGCAGTGTCTAAACTCTGGTCTCCTCCTCTGGAGACCTCGTTTGCAGTGTGGGTTGTGGGGTACCAGATTGTCATAGATTCCCTTCTTCTCGGTAGATTAACCAGGCGGACTCATTGCCCAGTGCTCAAATTCACCATGTGTATCAGGAGAGACTACGGATTGTGACAAGCCGTGGGAGCATGCTCAGTCAAGGGTCCTGTTGACGTCCTTCTAGTGCAGGCAGAGGATAGAAAGAGCCCCTCTCTCCCAGCTGACCCAGGACAAGCGCCAAATGCGGCTCCAGTTGGCTGGCTCCAGTGCTCGTCCCCCATGAACCCTGGCTCTGCTGGCAAGCTCGGGTCAGCTGCTTTTAGCCAGGGCCGGCTCTGTCCAAGCCAAACAGCCTGGCTGAGGCTGGGAGAGGGCAGTCTGCCGAGACGAAGCAGGACAAGGTCCTGGAGGAGGTGGGCGGGGAGCGGGGATCCACTTTGGTTCAATGTTTGACTGAGCAAGATCCCCCCATGCTTCCAAAAGTCAAAAGTCTACACAGTGAGCCTGCAGCCCTTACCCCTCACAAGCAGCCGGTTTCTTTCTTTTCTTCTTTGCATGTCTTTTTCTAAAGATATGTAGACATGTGTAGGTTTAGCTGTTCCCTCCCCCACTCCCTCTGCTCTTTTGTGCTTTTTTCTTTTTTTAAAAGAAATACATTCATTTATTTATGGGAGAGGGTTGGCGTGCCCATGCACGTATGGAGGTCAGGGAACAACTTAAAGGCATCTGTATTCCTTCCACCACGTGCACGCTGGGGGTTGAACTCAGGTCATCAGGCTCGGTGGCAAGCACCTTCATCTGCTGAGTCATCTTGCTGGCACTTTCTTCTTTCTTTTTTTAAGAGAAAGAAGGCATTTTTGATCAGCTACCCTGATGCGTGTTGCTAACAGCACAGGTTAGCGCTGACAGAGTAACCTTGTGCTGAGCCTTTTTGTGTTCTCTTCAGCCTGGGTTCTAAGGAAGTCTCTGCCCTCTCCCGATGCAGATGGGGGCAGCCGCAGCATCCAGGACTCCCAGGTTCCCAGTCTGGTCTCCCAGGTCGACAGGTCCCCCTCCAGTCCTCCTGGACACAACTGGGAGATGAATTATCAAGAGGCAGCAATCTACCTCCAGGTGAGTGCGGCTGGGTTGGTGCCTGGGTGCAGGGATGGGGTGGGGGTGTGGGTAGGGCATGTTCAGAAGGCTGCTGTGGTCTGCCTGCCTGTCCCTGCTCCTGTCCCTCCTCGGAGCCCTATTTGTGGCTATGCTTGCAGCAGGCGGGTCTCCAGTCTCTCCTCTCTGTCTTCCCAGGACCACATACACAGACCCAGCTCTCAGGGAATCTTATGTACCTTGTATTGTAGCAGGGGAGTGTTCAGGCAGTGGGGCTACCTCCTCGGTCTGTTTTTCTCATGTACCGTTCTGCCGCTGTCAGGCCTGATCGTTATGCTTGTTGGGGATTTTCCTTTCCTTTCCTTTTCTTTTTTTTTTTTGAGAAAGGGTCACTTTATGCAGTTTTGTAACTCACAGAGACCCTCCTGCCTCTGCCTCCTGAGTGCTGGGCTCAAAGGCATGGGCCATCACACCTGGCAATGTTTGGGAATTTGTTTTAAAGCAGTACTTTTCTATAAAACTATTGCATGTTTGTTGACATAAATTCAGATAGTCTCAGAAAACATAATGTCTTCCCTTTTGTTTAAAAAAAAACTGGGTCTCACTGTGTAGTCCTGGCTGCCCTGAAACTTCTTATATATAGACCTGACTAGCTTTAAACTCATCAGGCCCTGCCTGCCTCTGACTAAGGAGTGCTGGGGTTTCAAGTGTGCACGCCACACCGGCTCTTGTTTATGCAGAAAATTCTACTCTATGCGACCTTACCATAAATGAAACCTTACTAGTCAGTTACCTTGTGCAAATGGAGAATTCTGTTTAACGGTTCTAGACCAACATGGCTGTTGATTTCTGCAGTGTCAGTTCAGCAGGGAGATGTTCAACAAAGCTGACCACACAGCTAAAGCTGCCAAAAGCTCACTTACCTGCATATAGTAGTGTGTGCACATGTCTGCATTTATGTCTGTGTTGTGCACACGAGTGTGTATATGCATGCATATGTGTATATGTGAGTGTGTGTATATATGTGTACATGCATATGTGTGTATGAGCGCATGTGTATATATGTATGTGTATACACGTGTATGTATATGTATGTGTGTGTTTGCATGTGTATCTGTATGTATGCGCATGTGTATACGCGTGTGTGTATTTATGTATCTGTATGTGTATGCATGCATATGTGTGTACGAGTACATGTGTGTATATGTATGTATGTGTGTTTGTGTGTGCATACATATGTACATAAATACACATAGAGTCATACACACATCTGAAAGTTTGTCTATGTAAAGAGTCAGTGTAGGCTTGGGGAGAGAGGTCAGTCAAGTGCTTGCCGCACAAATGAGGACCCGAATTCAGATCCCAGGGACTTGATTGTAATTCCAGCCCTGGGGAGGCAGAGACAAGTGGGTCGTGAGGCTGCTGGCCAGCCTAGCCTACCCATGAGCTCCAGGCCAGTGAAAGACTGAAAGATTCCAAAAATCCAAGATGTGTGCCTTGACCTCTGGCCTCCACATAGCACACACACAGATGAAAGGGTAATAGCTTGCTGGTGGCATTCTTACTTCCTCAGAATCCTACATTATTCGAATTATTTTACAAGAGAAGGTATCTTTTTGGAAATTAAGGGCCAGCGAGATGGCTCAGAAGGTAAAGGTGCTTGTAGCTCAAGCCTGGCAACCTGACGTCCATCCCTTGAACCCTGGGGGTTGTAGACCCAGGGATAGCAGTTGACTAGCCAACAGAAAGTCCTAGACTCAAACCTAGTGGGGGTTTGGAAGGAAATAGCCCCCAAAGGGAGTGTAGGATTAGGAGTGTGGCCTTGCTGGAGGAGGTGTGTGACTTTGAGATCTCACAGATGCTCAAGCCACGCCCAGTGGTTCAGACCTCTTGTTGCCTGTGAGTCAAGGTACAACACTCTCAGCTACGTCTCCAGCACTGTGTCTGCCTGTGAGCCACCATGTCCACCATGACGATAATGGGTTGAACCTCTGAACTGTAAACAAGCCACCCCAATTAAACGTTTTCCCGTATAAGAGTTTCTGTGGTCGAGCCGGGCGATGGTGGCGCACGCTTTTAATCCCAGCACTCGGGAGGCAGAGGCAGGCGGATCTCTGTGAGTTCAAGACCAGCCTGCTCTACAGAGCTGGTGCCAGGACAGGCTCCAAAGCCACAGAGAAACCCTGTCTCGAAAAACCAAAAAAAAAAAAAAAAAAAAAAAAAGAGTTTCTGTGGTCATGGTGTCTCTTTACAGCAATAGAACCCTAACTAAGACAAACCTAATAATGGGTTTCAGGCCAGGTGTGGTAGCTGAAACTGAGGCAGGAGGATCAGCACAAGTTTGGGGCCTGCCCGGTCTTCATAGTGAGTATATGTGGTTAAATCTAGAGTCCTCATATAGAGAACATTTTTTTAAATAATAACACCTGACTTCTTTTTTTAAAGATTTATTTATTTATTTATTTGTACAGTATCCTGCCTGTAGGCCAGAAGAGGGCACCAGATCTCATTATAGCTGGTTGTAAGCCACTTTGTGGTTGCTGGGAATTGAACTCAGGACCTCTAGAAGAGCAGTCAGTGCTCTTAACCGCTGAGCCATCTCTCCAGCCCCCGAGAGCATTTTTTTTTAAAAGATGAGTCCTCATATAGAGAACATTTTTTTAAAGATATCTTTTTGTTGTTGCTGTTGTTTTGACAGGGTCTCTCTATGGAGCCCTGGCTTTCCCAGAACTCCCTATGTAGACCAGGCTTGTCTAGAACTCATAAAGATCCACCTGCCTCTGCCTCCCAAGTGCTAGAATTCAAAGTGTATGATGCAACTACACCTGGCTAAGACATCAGTTTAATGATTTTTATTTTTTTATGTTTATTGTGTTGGAGTAGCATGTGTGCCGGGGGTACGTGTGTGCCGGGGGTACGTGTATGACAAGGTATGTGTGTGCCAGGGTATGCATGTGATGGGGTACACGTATGACAGGGTATGCGTGTGGCGAGGTAGATGTGTGATGAGGGTACGCGTGTGATGGGGTACGCATGTGACAGGATACGTTGTGATGGGGTACGTGTGTGACAGGGTACGTGCGTGACGGGGTATGCGTGTGATGGGGTGTGCGTATGATGGGGTATGCGTGTGATGGGGTGCGCATGTGACAGAATACGTTGTGATGGGAGTATGTGTGTGACAGGGTACACGTGTGACGGGGTACGCGTGTGACGGGGTACGCATGTGACGGGGTACGTTATAACAGGGGTACGCATGTGGTGATAAGAAAACAACTTGTGAGGAATTGGTTTCCTTCTACCATACTGGCCCTGTGGCTTGAACTTGGCCATCAGGCTTGGCAGCAAGCACCTCTACCTGCCACGCCATTTCGCCTGACCCAGCATCAGCTTTTCACAGTAAAGAGCAGAGCAGAACTTAGATCCTAGGATTCCAGTCTGTGTTGGAGGGCTGTCCAGGTGGGGTCAGGGCCAGCTCCGCACTCCCAGTTCAGCTCTCTGGTGTATGTGGGTTGCATGTGGGTTGCAGCCCTGGCTGCATCGAGGGTGTCTGCTGCTGGGGGCTTCCTCTTCTCACATTTGCCTGTCACTCACCCTTGGGTGCCGTGACCTTTGAGGTTCTGGCATGCTGGAGCGAACAGAGAACAGAGGCCTGGCTGGGGTGGACAGTCTGTGCACAAGCCCAGAGCTCTCTCTGGGAGCTGCGTTACGTCCTGTGATGCAGATTCTCGGGCCATCTTTGCTGTTGGGAGTCAACACCCCATCCCCTGGGTTCGTAGCTGAGCCTCCTGTCAGGCTCTCTAGCTACGCCTTCCCTTAGCAGTTGCGCCAGAACGGCACAGTCTAGTAATTTAAAGCAGAGGCTTCCTGACCTTCTGGAGGCCACAGAGATGGTGGGAGATAATGCCCTGCACAGACCACAGGGCCTTTCGGCGTCCCCTGGGCACTACCCTGCTTCCTCTGTCTGGCCTGCGGTTTTTCTTCTGTTGCTGATGAGGATAGCAGCTTCCAGCGTTCAGGAAGTGACCCTGTCAGCTACAGCCAAGGCCTCCTCAGCAGGGGAAGAAAGCCATGGGGACGATTGCTGTTCTACTGCCCTCTTGGATGTAGGGGTCTCACCTGTCCTTTGCTCTGGGACACTGAACCACTGGGGAAGTTGAGGTGTGAGTGAGTGCGGTCCCAGCCTCTGTATGGTGGCATCTGCAGTGCATCGTTCATCCTGTGGGGCTCTGTATGTCGTAGGGCACTGAGCAGCGTCCTGGAGTATGACCAAGGTTGTTATTGGGGTGCTGCGTCTCCCACATTGGAGACCCCTAAGCAAGGAGCTGTGTACACAGAGTGCAGCAGGCTCTCCAGGGCAGCCCCAGTCTTGTTGGGTGTAGTCGTTGGCTGCTCCTGAGTGTTACCGTTGCTCGGGACTGTTTGATGAAAGTTCTCCTTTCTTCTGCACCTCTGGGGAAGCTCCAACCTTGTCCTGTCCACCACTGGCAAGGACAGCAGGGAATTTAGTCAGTGCCCACAGCGAAGGCTGGAAAGCCAGGCCAGCCTGCTAGTTTGGCCTATGTGTGAGCTCTTTAATTCAGGCCTAAGAATTTATACCCCTAGGGATGGTACTTCTCCACAACGTCTGAGACGTTCTAGTTTGGCAGATTTAAGCCAAACTAGATGTTTCTTGGCCATCATCAGGCAAAGGCTGGCCGTTCAGCGAGGCTCTCCTGAACCGTGTCTTGGCCTCTGTGACCTGCCCCGCTTACGGCCCCTCCACCTCTCCAGCATGACACCTCCGTGCCTACTCGCATGCTCAAGTTGTCCTGTCTTTGTAGGAAGGCCAGAACAATGACAAGTTCTTCACACACCCCAAGGATGCCCGAGCGTTGGCCGCCTACCTCTTCGCACACAACCACCTCTTCTACCTGATGGAGCTGCTCACAGCCCTGCTCCTGCTGCTGCTGTCGCTGTGCGAGTCACCCGCTGTCCCTGCTCTCCGGCTCGGCATCTACGTGAGTGCTCCAGGGAAAGGAGCCGTGGAGCCTTGCCCGCCACCCAAGGGGACGCTTCTGTTTCCAGCGACTCTACAGATAGGCTGGGGCCTTGAGAACCCACACGGAGGCCTATCACACCTGGCCATCCTGTAGTCATGCGTGGAAGAGGCCCACTGAGGGTCTTCCCTGGGTCCTTCTCCTTCCATCCCATGGGGGAGCATAGTTATAGAGTTTGGTGTTCACATAGCCCTCTTTTTAAAAGAATAACGTGCACGGCGGCGTGTGTGTGTGTGTGTGTGTGTGTGTGTGTGTGTGTGTGTGGTGTTTGTGGTGTGTGTGTGGTGTGTGTGGTGTGTGTGGTGTGTGGTGTGTGTGTGTGTGGTGTGTGGTGTTGTGGTGTGTGTGTGTGGTGTGTGTGGTGTGTGTGTATGTGGTGTGTGGTGTGTGTGGTGTGTGTGTGGTGTGTGTGTGGTGTGTG